TTGTCTAACGCATGTCTTGACCACAGAGAAAGACATTGTTGTTCATAATTATCAATCAGTTCAAATCACAAGACATGATTCCGAAATGGGATGGAAAAAGTGAGAAATTAATAATGACTTTCGTTTATAAAAGGGGTAATTTATTATGTAGGTCTTACGTGGGAACAAGATGAAACAATCGACAACTAGGCTGAATAATATTATTTGAGTAGTTTACCCAAATACGAATCAATTTCCATTATTTAAACATTGCTTTAAGATAACTATAGAATACGATAACGATATTATTAAATTGGATTTATTTTATTGTAATCGGGTAAAAATATTTTTAAGTCTGTGAACATAAAACAACGTTCTGTAGGATTATTTTGAATTAGAATTGCACCGAGTTTTCATCAAGTGTATTACTAGACGATCTATGTTTTATGACGTTATTTGACCGGCAAGAAACTAATTAGTCTACTTTAAAATGCTTCTAATGAATCATTTATTCAAACATGCTTGATTGACAAATTTTGTTATTAAATACTCTAGTCTTTCGTATCAACATCGTTGATTGTTAGACTTTTCGCTTGCAATAACGATGTATTGATTCACTAAGTTAACCGTTTAAGTGAAATCTAATTTCTTTTTTGTTATGCTTCTCAATAAGACTAAAGAACTAATTTTAAGAGTAATGAAATTTCATCATAAAATGCGAGGACATTGAAATGCTGATTCCTGGACATTTGCAACGTTTCGGTGAATAAATAATGAAAACAATGTATCCCAAAAAAGTCCCAGTCTAATATAAGATGAGTGAACTAAGAACTATGTTTTGCTTGAGTTTTTTCATCTTCATAATTTGTAGCAGATCATAAAACTGTTTGAAACTAACTTAAAGATTCAGTGATAAAAAAACTTAACGGCGTTTCATACGATTAATGGAAATACTATTGCAATTGCTACTGATAAACTCAATAACTTCAGGAAGTGAGTTTTACAACGTACTCTAATTTAAAAAAGTATTTTATAAATACTGGGTCTTCATAGAACTGATTTATGAACGTTCAATCTGGAAACGATATAATTGGAGTATGTAGTTTCTTGCAGTGACATATATAAAGTTACTTCCAGATATATGAGACATTTACGGAAGTTAAAGTCATTCAACTGAAGCTTTATTTAAGTGAATGAATCCTAAAGATTTGAATAAACACTTCAGTTAGTAAGTTGATAAAATTATTATAATTCTTAAAATCCCAGACTTACTTGTTTTAAATTGTTAAGGGATCTGTTTCAATATTTATCGTTTTAACATTTAAAAAACAGATTAACTATTAATGTGGATAATTTATTTTATCGTAAAGTTTAATTGCTGAATGAAGAAAAACAGATTTTACCAAAAAATAAGAATATGGAGGATGAATAAATTAATATTTAAGTAAATTTATCATGCAAAAATGTTTATTTGTAAAACTAAAGTACTCTAGAAGAGCTAATTACTTATATTTACCAAGATTGATTGGAATATTACTGTTTAAGTTATTGTCCATAAATATTTAAATCATTGAAATACAATGTGTAGATATGAAAAATAACAAACTAACCATTCATATTATCTTCACTTTAAAGTTGATTTACTTCAAAGGAGATAAGGTCAAAAATAGTAGATGTATGAATGGTTGAAAATGAAATGAAAATACCATGTGACTTCAAATAGTTTTAGATTACTTAAAAAAGATGATTTACAATTCGTACTGATTAATAAGTTTGTACCTGTTTATAAAATAGCGAAATTATATTCGCTTTAAGAATAAATAAGAAATTAAAAAGTACTGTACTAAGCAATATATCATACAGAGATGAAAATGCTCTAGTGTTTAACTAAAAATTGCACAACATTTTGGACGTACGTCATGTAACTGTCATCGTCACACGATTAAAAATGTAATAATGGCCCTTCTAAAGTAGATAAATACTATTTATTTTCTTTTGTTTAAACAAATCGCACATATGTCGTTCACGTTTTGATGTTGTAATAATTCAAATGATTTCTTAAAGTATTGTAAATGAATAAAGAAACATGATCTTTAAAATTCTACGTTTATTGACAATTAAGTTAATATGATCAACTGTCTACCGATGTTTTACTTCATCATCTTATTATTTTGCGTAAAAATGTTAATTTATGTATCTATGTAAATAAACCATTTATAAAGATCACCGTTAAGTATTCTCCTCATTTAATTTTTTTCGAAGTTTTGGAGGCTGTTTCCAAACGTGTGTACGATCACGTGTCATTGATAATACTGCTGATGGGTATATATGTCATTTAGATAATGGATACTCACTCTTTGATAGGTAGAGACTCTGCATGAATACATGTCTCACAGATGCATGGCCGGAAGGATCTTAATGGGAATACTGCGCAGCAGTAATATTAACCACAGAAACAATTTGATAATGATAAGTTCAGTCATAACATTTGATCGAATTAAGTATGTAATGATTCAGGAGTTGTGAAGATTATTATCGCAACTGGTCTTAAAGGCAACTAAATATTAAAATGTTAAGCAGAACAACCCTGTGAGTAACATTCCATAACCGTCCATTTGATATTGACAGAATAACATGTTGAATATATATCGTGAATGATATTCTGATAATTAAAAAGTTATCCCACATGAGTATTGAATAAACTATATGGTTAATAACAATTTATAATTTATCAAGCTTTTATGTTAGATACCACTACAAAAAATTTGTAAATAGCACTTATTACTGACCATCTTTAAATTTTGTTCACTGAATGACAATCATATTTACGGATTTATTTATTTGCACAGTTCACTGAGTGTTTTAAATAATCCGTAGAAAGAAAAATTTTACTAATAATTTTAAAAACACAGACACAAAGATCTTCGTCAACGATGAAGCTGTACTCAAGTTAAAAACATACATTACAAAATGAATTGAACGAGTCCATAAAATAGTCAGTAAAATAGACTAATGTATTTTAACTTGTTCACCGAAATATGTGGATAGTAATTTTACAGATTTAAGATGGCTCAAATAAGAATTCAATGTAATTAATGAGGTGATTAACTTTTTGTCGATGAAAATAGCTTTTTTCTGATAATTCATGAATACTCTAAGAAATCACTATCACTATGGTTATTTACAGTTAGATTGATAAAAGACGTTTTTGCCATCGAGATATGAAGAAAATCAATGGTTTGTCACAACATTTCAATTCACAGACCAGCATCACCGTGAGAAAGTATTGTTAAGATCTTAGTTTTCAATCTGAATCTTTTGATATATTTTGATAATTAATTTTATACTTGTTTTAGTTATAAAAACAAAGAAAGTATTGATTACTGAAAAGGGTGTTTGAAGTTTACGTCGATTTGATCTTTTATATATGTGTCTTAAATCTTGACAAGGATATCAAGTTGTGATCCGATTTTGGTGATCATATCAACCAAATGTTTCCGTATAATTCTACATTAAATTTTGATAGTAGGTGGTTTTCAGTAGTAAAGGGACTGCTATACTTGATCTTAGGTATATTTGGTACAGTTTGTTATAATTTATAGACAAATTATGGTCTAGAGTGTGATAACAGATAGAACCACTGGAGAATATAATACTATTATATAGAACGTAGACTAAGACAAACAGTTTAAATATGAAGTACCACAAATACACTATAAATAGTAAAGTTCTTTCTAAAAGTTGATTGTTTATTTATCGGAGAAAGCATTGTTTCCAAGGCAAATTTTCATCAGTGCACATCCCTAACACTTGTTGAAATGGTTTCTGTAGGTTAAAGGTCTTTTAAGAGTGTGTTTACAAAACTTATGTTGTATGAATGATTGAAATGCTGAGGTAAATTACTAACTAATACCTTCACCAGTGGATGCCAGTTCAAGATGTTCAAGATGTCAGAACGTATTTGTGAAGGTGATAGCTTTGAAATTTGTTGTATAATATTGTATAATATTCATAATTCAACAACCGCCATAACTATTGTATAATGTGCTCACGAGATTGTACAGCTTATGCTTCTAATACAGCTATTGTCGTTCATTAATTATTTGTTAACATTGATCGTCGCCAGGTTAGAAATTCATTACTTAATTATTAGAGAAATAATTGACAACAAATGAATGGTTGCTATATCAATTTTGTAATGTTTTGTATCGTAATTTAGTTAGTCGTTAGCAACGTAAAAATGGTACAGTGGTGCATTGTCCGAAGTTGTTGTGTTTTTATAAATCCATCGATTTGAAATTATCAGGATGATGGACCAAATGGTTGTATTATCGATAATATAAGAAATGATTAGGAATAAATTAGGAAAAAATAAAAAGTATCAAATGGTTTTCAAACTCGGGATATAGGAAAAAATAAAAACTGAATACATCTACCTGGTTGGTGCTGCTTCTGAACTATCTTACATAACTTCTCAATCTAACAATTACGGTTTTTTATTAAATATTTATTACAAAACTAATTATTATTTGTATTGAATTTTATCATTTTCAGATGAAGAAAATGTGATTATGATTGTTATAGTTAAAAGTAACTCAAACTTTGTTATTATAAGTTAGTGAATGTAATTAAGACTTAACAAGGTTAGCGTCAAATAAAAATAATTTTACCCGATTTATCATGGTTTTTTGTTTTCAAATATTTTTGTGAATACCAAAATTAGATGATACTTAAATTCGAACAAGTAAATATTAATCTGTTAGTAGAACAGCTACAAACGCGAACAAAAGCGTAAATAAACACTAGTTTTTGAGTAACTTATAATACTTCTGTCATAGCTCATTCAATGTTGGAACATTTAGAATAGTGCTCATATAAAAACTAAAGTTATAGTAGTTAGTTCTACCATAAACAACAAGTAGACATGAAGTCATTTTTTCTTTTCATTTTTCAAAAGTAGTTGCAAGTAACATAATTTACAACAAAACAGCAATCATAACAACAAACCATAAAATGTTTACCTCTTTTTTGAAAATCATTAACCAGTCCAAATGTGAAAACCATTTATGAGATTTAATATCTTGAACACCATTTCTCAAATTACCAAATCGTCGTGTTAAATCAGATTGAATCAAATTACGCAAAAGATCTTTCAAATCTGAACTGAAGTGGGAAGGAAATTTATACTGAAAGTAAAATAAGAATGAATAATAAGTACGTTTTAATGATAAGAATGATTGATATGTGCTTTTAATTCTTAATGTGAATGCTGATAACCATCGTAAATTTTTAAAGGTCAATCAATATATTCTAAAATTCTTTTGAATTTATTTACAATTACAATAAGGATTAATAGAGTATTCAAAGCAACGACTAGGAGAGTGACCAACTGGTTGTAAATTTATAAATCTAGTTCACACGATTTTGTGTATGATTAAGAGAAGTGTACGAACTATTAAAAAAAGTCATTTTGTAAAGAGATTTGGTGTTTAAAATAACTAAGCAATTATGTACTGGTTCATACACTTACATCTGAACCAATGCTTAAACTTAAGTAATACTGAATCTAAAAAGCTGAATAATATGAGGTAAAAGAAATAGAAGCAGAGCTCGTGATTAAGTGGCTGAAAGTTTATTTACTTTAACTAATGAATTACTACTCAACGTATTAAAAGATAAAGCTGTCAGAACAAAATTAATGAAAATACTTATTTCATTTTATTTTATAGCTTTTGTTAATTAACAAGTTTGTAATTTGCATGTTTCATGGGAAACGTTTATCAATAGTGCATAAACGTAAGAGTTTGGCATTTGAGAAGTGGAATATTATATGAAACACTGTATCCCCAAATTCATAAAATAAATATATTTATGTGTGCATATATAGATCAGCCATATACGTTTCACAAGGAATTATTATGTAGTTATTAACCTGCATACGAATCGAATTGTTAAATTTGAAACTGATGATGCATGAGAAAATTAAATTTAAAAAATTAGCTTTATGTTCAAGTTCAGAGATTGAAATGCTTGACACCTGGTTAATTTTTTGAAACAATTTATCAACTAGAATGTACAATAACTAAGCTAAGCTCCAGCTCACTATAATGTAGAATACTTTATTTAAACAATAAATGGTAAAACTCCTTTGACTAAACAGAAATTCTTATTTCTATTAACCTGTGATTTAGCTGATAAGACGTAATATTTTGTGTTGATGCAATTACTTGCCAAGCTCATCACGAATATTAACGAACCCATATTAACATCTAAGTGGGTGAAGACATGTATCTTGTGTAGCTTTAGCATAACGCAAAATATGAAAATTCAGTTCGATAAATAAACAACATTGTAGACGGTTTGAGATAGCATATTGAATAAGATATATAAGTACATAAATAATGGTTTAACAAAATCAGACAGGAATGTTGATGAGATACATGCATATCAGTAATTTTAGTGCAAAATGTTAATCTATATTATTAAAACTAATGTTGGCACATTCAGGACCCAGAGAAAATATCATAGGACCGATACTAAGTACACTATTCGTAGTTGTTTTGACCAGATGACACTGAATATGTTAATCATTAGTGACTTTTATGATGAAAGCTTATTATAAAACAGTCTTATTCGATAGTTTTATCACATCCACAGAATAAATGGTGAATAGCTTTTACCTAGCTGAAAACATTGAAAACATACATCAGTAAATGTGATAAAGTCTGAAACACCTAATATAATTATTCCGTGCTTTAATTAAGGCCATCACTAAAAAAATATTGACCATATGGTGGCTGTTTTATAGTGTCACAGGATGCCTCAGCATTGCATGGTTATTATCTCATCACAGATGTACCTCAGGTCCGTTAGAGATAATGGAGAATACCAACAAGCCTTTATTGTTTTCGGAAAAAAGTGTTTTCTACATCAAACTGTTACTAAAGTTTTTCTTACCTTTCTGGACATCATGAAAAAGTGAAATTGTGTTACAGAGTATCATAGAATTTTGTGTTTTAACCACTACCTTTCAAATTACTTGTAGTCAATAATATATAAAATCTTGTTCTACTCATTTATGATACAGTTCTGAACATGAGATACCTTGAATCTGTACTGAATATTTAAATAAATATAATACACGCATTTATCTAAATAAATATTGATAAATCTATCTAAGTAAGTTATTTCACTAAATTCGTTAGTGAAACTTACTTATCAGGGACAGAACAGGAAGAGAATATATTAACACACATATTTATCTAGTTTTCTTAAAAACTGTGAACCAACAATCGCTAATAAACTAAGATAATAAAGGGAGAATTAACGTAACTACATAAAAAAAGACATCAAAAAACTGTCATAAATTTCAGCTCGTAATACAACTCAATTATTCTCACCTATTTCTGCTGAATTAAGTTCGGTTTTTAATTTTAAAAAATATTTATGGAAAAATTAGTGGCTTAGCCACAGTAGAGAGTTATTTTGGTTATTTCGACAGGAATATATTGTTAAATCAATAAGATAGATCCAGAATAATAATCTATGGGTCAAAGATTGTTTTCAAACATTAGTGGTTTTTCATGGAATTTAGTGATATTCGAACTTTGAAAAGTGTTAAGTTTATATTTTATGAGATAACATATAACTTAATGAATTTTTCATATATTTGAAAATTTTGTACAATATTTTACTAAACATTTCACTTTTTTTCAAAGTATTAAAAGCCTATAATATCGATTTCAGTTCAATAAACAACCTTAACTGTCCGAGGTAATGGATTCCAGGTGAACTCTTAAAATCAAATGGAACTTTTTTGTATAATTCGTTTGTTTTCATAATAAAACATGATTAATTGAATATCAGATTTCGTGTAATATGAGACATTCATTTTTATTTCTCAATATACACTTTTCTTTAGATTGCAAAAAACATTCTAAGAATAAGTCCATGTTTGGTACTTTAGTATCGAAAATAAAATTCACATATTTTATCGGAGAGCAAATAACATGAATTACTCTGTTTTGCTGCATTTTCTAAAAAAAACGGTATATGATTATCGTTGTTACAAAAATACAGGATTACTCGACGAATTAAAAAAAAATTTGGCACTTCAAAATATTCTGTAGTTAGGAAATTGCTTGTTCCCACTAGTTATCTGGATGACGTAACATGTTTTTGTAATTTTAAGTAAAACCTTTCTGCATTCACATTAAACTTCGTCTACAGTAATTTGTAGGTAATACAAGAAAATGAAAAAAATATTGCAGTTTTTTTCTCTAAACAATTTAATAAAACACAAACATTGTTTCGTTATATCCACATGTTCAATGAGAAGAAAGCTTTTTCATTTGATTAAAATCTCTTGCAAAGCTTTCAACGTGTTGTCTTTATTTAATTTTGGCAGTCTAAATACTGTGAGTTTTGAATGTCAGGAGACGTCGCTGTGCTACAAGTACTTTGTATTCAATTGACATCCATAACAAAGTTTATTTGCGGGCATGGTTAAATAATCTAAACATTAGATGTAAAAAATATGAACCATACATATAGCGAGCAAAAAGATAATTTATTTACAAAAAAGGCTTTGGTTTACACTATGGGGTTCAAATGAAAGTAAATTTTAAAAAGATTTTCATGTATTTGTGGTGTTTAGCGAAAATAATAAAGATTTTAATGCTACGCTTTAGAAATCTGAGATTGTTTCCTCAGTGAACTGTAAGTCGTTTAATAACAAACTGAGTAGCCGGTAACCCACAATGTCTAGTTTCAATGCATTATATCAGATTTTATGAATTAACAAGATTAAAACCAGGTTCATCCAAATTCTGTCGGAACAAAAAACCAGCTTCTACTTTAACCATTTCATAAAATTTCAAAATCCACATCGTCATTCAAAAAATATGCTAAGAAAACCATTAAATTTACAGCTAACGTACTGTTCTATATACAAAGTGTTTTTAAAATTCACTTTTTTAAAAATATGAACAAAATCATTCCGATAAAAAACAATGAATATATATATCCTAAATGATTATTTAATTCTTAACCGGTTTTTTTTCTGTGAAAAGCTTTATTTCTGATTTTTGTATATCCTAAATATCTTATGAGTTAACTTGGCTAAATCGTACGACATTTTAACTGGTTTATTAATTTAATTATATATCTTTCATAGAAATGAGGCATCGTAGTGCTATCTGTTGCACTAGTAAATTAAAACAATCAAACTATTTTTTAATTTCGTTAAAAACTAATTAAAACATATAACATTAAATCTCTTAAATGAACTTTTCCTGTGTGAGTGAATTTATGAATTTGAGAATAATTCATGAATGGATTTACTGAGCATCACATTTTATTCACATAGGTTTAAGGGAAGTAATGAAGAAAATCGTTGTCAGATATAACAGGAATCAAACTTTTGTACTAAGGGATGCTTTATTACATATATGTTGCATAATAATCAAATAAAAAAGTAGGTCAACAACTGAAGTAATAATGTTTGCTTAATATTTCTTCATGGTTTTTCTATTTTCCTTTAGTGATTTTCTGACAAGTAAATAATTTATCTATTGAAAGCACTAAATTTCCACTTGTTAGTAGATACACTTTGATACATGGTTACTTGACAACTGAAATATTAGTTCAAATAATGCGAAAGTTACCTATGTTAAGTTAGAAGTGGAAACCAAATAATGAATAACTTTAGATATTCTGGCCATATACATTTTGTGGTTAGTTGCAGTTTACGTATTCCACTTACATGTATTAGGCAAGGAACCACTTTCATTTTCTTCGTTCATGAAAAACCCATCGATATGTGTTATACGCTTGACTGGTAAATATTTTGTCTGCCAAATAGTTAATATGTTGTTCGAGAAACAAACAAATGTATGTAATAAACGTCTTCGTAATCAATTGTATTTTAGTTATGAGGATATAAAACATGAATTTAGTGACTTATTTAGAATAATCGTATAAGTTTATTATTTGATCACGCGAAAATTCAAGAAATCTAAGCCTTCAATTATGTAATAAAAGTCAAAAATAAACGAAACCAAATGACCATTAAAGTTTCATTTATTATGCTGATTTCGTTGCTCTATTTGATTACCCGGTAAAACCGCGCAAAATATATCAAATAAAATAGTGAACATCACAGTATAGTCCATTTCGGTAGGAGACATACAATTCCTGTTATGTAGCTATGAAGCTGTTTTGTAATAAAAGCCTATGAAAAATAACTCTAAAGACAGTTTCACATAAAACCCAGTATATCTGATAAATTTACATAAATCTATGCCTAATTTACATATTAATCAAAGGATTTTACACCTAACTGTCAGATAGCTGTAAGCAAATGGGTCAGAAGCTATGAATTTAAATTTTGTGATATTCAGTCCTTGTCAACAATCTAGTGCTTTAGTTATTGACGAAATGTAGTTAGCAGATACTTCCTTTGCAAAAGAAGGTTTGGGGTTGTGAATACAAACAGGAAATTGATTAAGTACTCTGATTGTAGCTTGGGAGGTTTGAGACAAATACTAGAAAATCGAGTTATAGCATAAGTTATTGAATAAAGGAAAGCTGTAATTACTTGATGTAATATGAATAACTTTTAACTACAACTAATTTGAATAAAGTGTCATTAGTTTGTTTTAAACTCAGCCCAAGAATAGCTTATGAATATGAAATAATTTACTTAAAGTCATGTTAGTTACATTCATTGACACATGAAATAGTTTGTTTTCCATAAATCGATGTAATGGTACAAAACCTGATAGAACCAATTTTAGGAAGCGATACTTCCATAATTTACATGGAAATTACCAAAAATACCGACATAATTTATTCCATGAACTGGATGAACCACATTAATCAGCATTCTAAACAATTGCTTATGATATTGATCCTCAGTTATTTTGTCAGAAATATCTCACGATTAGACGTTTTAGTTTTTTGTTGAAGTCTAGTACTAACCATGTGACTGTCATTATTTGTAGTTGGTTTTAAGATCTATAAAATGTGAAGTAATTTATTCATCTGTGAAAAAACAGATAATCTTCGTCTTTCATTGATTTTTTACAAGCTTGTTTTTAATTAATGTTCAACACTCAAAGACAGTCAGTAAACATTTGAATACTGTTTATGGTTTTTCAAATTATTAGCAAAAAACAAAAAGGGAAAAGGGGGTTTGTGGAGATTATAGTAATTCAATAGTCAAATTCATGAGTCAATTAAAGCTACACTAGGTTTTTCATGGTGGTCTCATGAATTCAACTATTAGAAATGGGGAAAGTTTAGTGAAAATCAAACACAATCTAGTTAACTTTAATTTATAATAATTTAATATTTCAATTTACTGTTGTTAGGCTTTTAAGAGAAATGATTACTGGATGCTTTAGTGTATTTTATTTTCAACCTCATTTTAGACATGGAAATGATATTTTATCAAGAATTTAAACTTTTATCTTTCTATTATGTGCTTTTGGAATAAAGATGGCTAAAGATTAATAAATGGACTATCCATAGTTTACTCTCTCTTCATTTCATTGATTTACAGTAATCTACTAAAGTAAACATGAACATTTGGGCTATCAAGGTACATATTTTAAATTTTTGGACTTATTAGTTATTTCATATATCATTTGATAGACAGTTTAGTTCATACCCAATCCTAATCCCTGTTAATTTTGTATACTATTAGCATAAGTAGGGTTTTGGGATTCATTCAGTATATGGATATGCGAGTTACTTTATTTAAAGATTAAGCCCAACTTATCGTTTATCGCCTTCTTAATGAGATACTACGTGGGTCTCCTGTGATCTGTCCAATTTTTGTATCTTATGCAAGAAAAGAATAGTTTTGTGTATGAGGTTTTCTTTTAGATGATAATATTTGCGAAATATTTACAATCGAATACATAGATATTTCACAAACAACAGTCTATAATATATAGAAATGCGTTGAGTTATGATATAAATAAAATTTATATGAAAGCCAAGGGACCGTTAAAGATAGCAAAGTGAAAAAACATATGGAAGGGAGAGTCAGGAGATAGTTGTACACATGCTGAGTATAAGGAAGAAACAACTGTTTGTTAAAAACAACTTACAAAATTAGAAGAGAGGGTTATAAGCTTGGTAGAATAGGCCTAATTTGATGAATTATCAAAAAATCTACTGCAGATACATTTCTCATTCAACTTCTTTTAAATTCAGTTACTTTGACGCTGGCTAGTTGTAGATGACAATTCATGTGGAGGCAGATGATCAGAATTGATTAAACATTCAATAATAGAACTGACGACTGCTATGTAATTACCTTTAGAGAGCCGTAAAAAGTAGTGCTCAGGTATAAGTCTACAAAAGGTGCACGACAAACATAATATGATCCACGAGAGTAAATAAACCAGCAGATTCTCATTGAGGTAGCTCGACGCAGGGGTTTATCCTTGACACATCTTCAAATCAGTTACCTACCAAAAAATATAATTCGTAGGTCAGATAAAAATATTCTTATCAGAGGACTTGATTGTCGTATTCCCTTCGTAAACAATGTTAGTATATAATTTCTCCCAAATAATAGTAGGAGTTATTTCCATTCGACTTTTTGTTTGAAGACTGTCAGTAAACTTGAAAGCGAATCCATTGTCCATAAATGTCTGTACTATTTTATTCACTTCGTCATCAAGTGTTTTGATAACATTGTCAATGACTCAACATCCTTTCATTTTATTATAGCTTACTTTGTAGGAAACAACTATAAATACGGTTGTAGAGCTTCAGTAAAGAACATCGTCTAGAAGATTTCCTGCGTTGAACTGTCATTCGTTTTGCATCTGCTGATAATTACATAAGAACAATTAAATAAAAATTTACGCCCATAAAAGCTTTGGCGAATATATCTCACTTCAACAGAAAAACTTGGACAATTTTTTATTTGAGAAGGGGGCTATATGTCGAGAAGTATAACATATTTACTTCTGTAGTGTCTCTCCAGTAAGTTCAATAATATCCTATTGACGTATCATGTGGTCAACAATAAGGAAAAAATGCCTTTAAAATGTTAACCTCAGATTTTCTGTTAAATTTCTCTTGAGTTTTCCAGCTAATAATGGTGGTCGTTACGGGTTTCTATTACTGATCTTTACGTGACTTTGACGAAGATACATAGATGCGTACAAACTCTATAGTGAATAAACATTTTCCCCAAACTCTTGTAACCAGATTGATCGAAGGTTTCCGAAGAACCACCATACAGTTTATATATTTTATCAGAATTTACAGTAATAACATTCCCAGGTGATAAATAAAACTTTGCTATAAGCTAACAGTTAATGAAATAGTAAAATAAGAAGACAGGCACAAGTTTAACGAATAAATTGGACTGTAATCTGGAAACACTAGTGAAATCCGACAAAATTGTACGTTATGTGTACCCGGAAACTGTTGATATGGGCATACATGAATGAAACTTATAAATGGTAGTTATTTGATTTCCTCTTCGAATAATTTAGTGATAATGCTGCAGACACTCATTTTATGCTCTAATTCTAATCTGAAACATTACACAACTCTACATATCCAATTCTTAACCAAAAATATTTCTCGTTTGTTTCAACATGTTTCCTTCTATATAACCTGTATCTCTCATCTAAATGGTGAAATCCGCAATTTCATGGGATATGATTTTGTAAAATACTCATAACATAAATGTTACTATTTAAATCCATATTTAGGAATAATAAAGATCCAAGTGCCTTGACGACGTTCAATACATTATATTTACCATGTTAATATATGTATAGTTGCATCTAGGTCATCATTTAAGTATGAGAGATAGTGATGTATCATTGCTGAGCATACTCAGTAGCAGTTGTTTTAATCTGCAAACAAATGGTTAAAGATAATTCGTACCAAAAATTTTTTATTATTGCTAAAGTTAAGTCACTGTAATACAATTATAGTATGATGTACGGCAAACGAAACGTATGTGAATATATGCCATTAAATAAGGTTTATGTTTGGAGTAGAATCCCTTAAGTTTAGTTCCAAAAGCATACCTACTTCAGTATATCACAAACGTTACATGTGGTAAGTTTTTTTCAGAGGAAAAAATTAAAATACTAATTAAATTATTAATTAATAACAATAATATTATATAAGCTGAAATAATCATATATATATATATATATATATATATATATATATATATCACTATGCCTTAGTTTCACCGCAGAAGTTCTGTTTTTATTTTTTATTGTATACATCTTAGTTTAAAAAAACTTAAAATTATTAGGATGAAATAAACTGTATTGAGTAAAAGTTCCAAAACCTTTGTGTCGCCTAATGAAAATTTCATTTTACAGAACAGTTGGTTCATTTGAAAATTTATATTAGTAATTTATTTCTCTCTGTCTAGTTATCTTGAATTGAAATGATGTTTCCAGAACCTAATTAATCAACTCAATTTATTGAGGATGTAGTCTGTTATTCACTAATAATGTGAACATATAAGGCTTCATTTATTGTGAAGAAATAATGGCTGAAAGTTTAATGTTACAGTTTTATAAACGTAGATTTCATTACTAAGTTAATGGATATGTTTATTTTATAAATTTAATACATTGGCAATTAAAAGTTTGGTAAATAAACATAATTAATTTCGTTAAAGCAACATTTATCCGAACTATTTTGCTTGTATCAGTCATAATAGTGTGAAACACCTACTAAGTAGTTTAATAAGATAAAAGTAACCCAATTTCCTTAAAAATCTGATTAACAATTATGTTCCAGTTCATAACAATAAGGTTTAATTCTCCAGTAGGAATGCTTACTGAGTGATGTCCAAACAACTTAAAATGATAAATTATTTAAGGTTTATCTCTTTTAAAATCTTCGAAGATTAAAATTAATAACTTTTATGAACTTTTGATGGATGACCTTTTTTAAGACAGTGCTCTTTGAAACATTATTTTCAGAAAAAAATATTATTATTGCAGCACTACTTCTATTTCAATAGGTAAACATTGCCTAAAAAGTTGTTCTGTGAACTATTCATAGCTATAAAGTTTTAAAAAATGAGTACAACAGATGTTTTAAAAAATGATTAAATAAATTCGTTCTTTAACTTACTTTCCCGATAACTATACGTTCATAAATTTCTATTGGTTCATCTGCAAAAAACGGTGGATGACCAGCGACCATTTCATAAATTAATACACCAGTTGCCCACCAGTCGACAGCTTTTGTATAACCCTATAAATAATAATATGAATAAAACCATACTTATTTCTCAATGCATTAAAATTAATTGAAAAAAAACATTTTGAACTTAATAGCTATAACAAGTGCATTGCTGATAAAACAAAATCTGAATTTCTTAGGATCTTCAACTTTTTTACTAACATTTAAGCATGGTATTATGAACACATAAATGTCATCAGTTCATTTTAATGAAATGTCTTGGATAATGAAACGTAAAAAAGAAGAGTTAATTATTAAATAAACAGACAATATTATATATATATATATATATATATATATATATATATATATATATATATACCACGTTTCTAAAGCATTTGATTATAAAGTGAATCGTGTATTGGAATATATCTTCTTAGTTTATGAGAAATTCATAATTCGTTTAATCCAATAAAATGTTTAGAATTACTATACTTGTCATTATTTTTAAGCGATAAATAAAATGAATAAACTGAAATTGTAAATATGACAAGTAGATAGACCATATGATGGCAACATCTGTAGCATCAGAACAGATGACTTTGATTCACCGGGCAAGTTAAACAGATTTATATATTAACTGCATTCGACAAACTGCTCACATAAAAAGACCCACCAAAATGAAACTTTATTTATATTTACAATGCTTTTGTGATGTGATAAATATACATTTGGGAAAATTAGAAAAATAGTTAATTGAGCCACAATACTTAATCCAGTAGACTGTGTCCACTTGAAATATTCTATACCACAAGAGTGATATTTTTTAAGAATTAAAACGAAGTTGTAATTATTTTATACGCCAACACTATGCTGATCAGTTAAGAGTAGTCTGAAAAGTAAGTTAAATATTTCATAAAGAAATCTCATCAGAGTTAGGAAGTATGAATCCCTTTAGCACTAATCTGTCCTTCACCGTTTTATTACCTGATGTATAATGTAGGTAATCTATCATGTATCAGTTTAAAACTAATTAAAATAAGGGTTCTTATCGATCATTTAACTTGATAGATTTAGTGCTATTCGGTGAATCCAGTGAAAATAGTATGTGATCTTTGCCTTTTTTCCATTTAAATTTCTCGAATTAGTTAACACTGAACAGTGTCGAATTTCTACTCCTGAGTCGGTTATTGAATATTCGTGTTTGCGTTGCAAACCGATTTGTATTCCCTTGCCCATATATCTGATACCCCTATACTTTCTTGTATTGGGTTGAAATACCGAATGAATATACTCTGATTTCTAATAGCTGATCACGTTCAATCAACCTATGATGAAAATCAATGTAACAAACTTATTCATCAGACTAACTTGTAACGGTGAGTACATGTTTATAATAATTTGATTAGTCTAATTGCAATATTTATTATCCTTATGTTCTCTAATTTTATCATTTCCATTGTTATAAGCTCTGCTTAAGTTTCCACTTTTTTGTTTTTTTCTAGTTTTAACTGTGCTATTAAGGGATGTCTGATTTCTTCGCCACATTAACTGATATTATCATTACCATTAATATAGTCATCAATGATAACATTTCAGAATCTTGTTTTCAATATGTTTAGTTGAAACACTACTAATTATTATTACAATGTGGTAAAATGAACGAAGTTACATTATCAAGTAGCTTCAAATCATATGTCCGAAAACTAGTGTTTGTCTTGATTTCGTAATGCGTAAGCCCATACACTACTAATGTCCTTTAATTTTGGGCGTTTTTATTATCATAGTTGAGACTAGTTTTTTAAAAATCTCTTATTGGATATAGTTATAGGAATAAATAAGTCATTAGAAAGTAAACAGTTCTGTCGATAATTTGCTGTTTACTAGTCAACAGATTCATGATATTTTGTAAATCTCCGAAATATCTATTCAAAAAATATTATTAACCATTTATGACTCTTAGTTTACCGAAAGCAAAATAAACGACGCTAATTAATAGAAAGAATTCTTTTCATGTTTCTAACTATGAAGAAAATGAAGGTGATCAGAAACAAAAACATGAACAGTAAATGAATATAAAACTAACAATAAACTTTTTTTATAAATTTTACTCATCAAGAACGTCATATGATGTAAATGAAATTAAAATTGTGTCAAAGCTAGTTTGTTATTTTTTTGCACTTGTGGTGCTTTTGTTGGTGATTAGCTTTGATTTCGTTATTTTAACCGACATTCATGGTTGAATTTAAGCTAGCAGCACATCATTCATTAGTGAATTATTTTCCCTAGTAGAAAGAAAAACCGTAACATTTCTCGTGTTATCGAGTAATGTTAAAAAGAGAGTCTAGGTCCCATAATCATTACTTTAATAGGTTGAAATCTTTAGACTTTGATTTTGATTTATCACTTAAAGGTTGTTTTAAGTCCTGAAGTTCCTTTTAAGACCTGCATTTTATCAGCCTTTTTAAGGATATGTGCATCCTAAGCAAATAACGGGTTCAATTTTGGAAACGACAGACTGTGTACAAGACCTGATTTGTCTATCAACACGTTTGTAAAAGCAACTAGTCTCGAACAGAATGAAACACTCGTTGTGGATTGCATTGGTAGCCACTATCTAGAGCTGAGCAAACTGAATATAACTTAATTGCGATATCAAGTAATTTCGCTCAGGATAAGCATATGAAAAAGAAGTCAAGTGAATAGAATCCTTAGCACCAGCTGTAAGATTCCAAAAGACTTTTAGAGATAGCTCAATAGTTCAAAAAAAGTCAGAAACCTAGAAGGTATGACAATATCATATACATTATTGGTACATCTGCTTCGAGAGTTATATTCAATAATTTGTAAAAGCCAATAAGATTGCGATGATACGAAATTTGATAAAATCACTCCGTTCTATCTAGATGTGCGATTTTTATTCAAAAATGAAATGCAAAAACACTAATTTAATGTTAACTGGCACTGCACACTGTAAACAGTAATATGATAAGTATTCACTAACAAACATTGATTCTCCTTGTTAAGTAAACGTAAGTTGTTTTAAACATTTGATTTTGAGTTGATTTATTCAACATAGTTGATGAATACAGAAGTATATTTCGAAATATACACCTCTTGTTCATCGCCTCAAGACAACAACAGTTGTTTCACTGGAACGAGAGATAAGCTACGTATGATATGCAAATTTTCAAAATAATATGCTGGTAACTAATTTTTCTAATAATGAATCATCTATGTACACGTATATGCTAACTCTCAATATAATCTCGGATATAATATTTGAAATTAGAAGCTTGGTATTAGCAACATTTTTAAACCTGGAAAATTAATCTTGTCGATGATGAAGACAAAATCACATCACACATAAAATGTGTAACTATGTACTATATTTTTCCTTCTTAATACAATACAACTTTTAACAAAATATTTCTTTTAACTAGTCCACACTTTAATCATTAGTTCTTGTTTTCAATCATAATTGGTACATAAAATTTGCTTTCCTTCTTATAAATATATTTTCATTTTTTTGTTTATGAAGCTAACTCTGTGAAGTCTTTATCGAAGTATAAAATTATTTTGTTTTTTTTTGCTAAGACTAAAATTTACACATAACAATATTAGAAAAAAACTACTCTAAAACACTAGCAACAATGGCTATTAGAAATCTTTGTTTATTGTGTAGGTAAACATAATTGAATTTCTTGAAAACAATTCACAGAATATGTTGCAGAAAAAAATGATCAGATAATTAGATTTCACGGCAAATTTAAAGCACATAAAAATAATTTGACGTGTACATGTTTATTGTCAGTATACTTGGAAATTTACATGAACAAATTATATTTCTATATTTCCAAGGGCCTGCTTTGTATACTTAGAATTTATCTCTATCTGCTACAGGATTAAAAAAAGGTTAGAGAATATTCTTGTCCAGGTAAGAAGTATAAAACTACGATTACGTCTGCTGTTGGATATATTGATTAAAGTCAAAGTTATCGTTATTAGACAACTTAATTTAGTCGTTTCATCAGATTCCCGTACTTGCACTTCACACACATGTCTAGAAAAATATTGACACAAAAATACTCTTATTAATTACTAAGCGTTATCTGACAAATGACGCGGTGAAAGCTAATAAATTGTAACACGGTACGGAAACCATTAGTAGGTTGTCAAGACCTAATATAAATAAAAAAGCAAGTAAATATGACATACATTAGAGCAAACCAAAATACTACATTAACTTTGAATTATGACAGAAATCAGCTGGTTGAAAATGTATTATCTTTTACAAAAGAGAGTCAGAGAAGCAACCAATCTTTTTTCTCATTACTGTTATCAGGAAGTAAATGAGAATGTAGAAAGGTTTAGAATGTATTTACAAATATTCCAATACATAACCAGTGTGAGAATGGTATGTGATTGTAAATAAATTATTTCTGGGACTATTTAACTAAAAAAGTACTTTTAACATCCGGCTTTGTAGAGCTAAGTACACAGGTACATTTTTATCTTATACTTAACGCAATGTAACATGAGAAACGAATAGTCTATGCAAATCTACCGATGAAACATGAAAGAATATAATTTAAATGTTGTAACGACGATGGTGTCTGCTTTTGAGAAGCTCGTAAGTAGCTTAATTTTTAAGTATTGAATATACACGATTAAATACAGTAGAAAGATGAAAAATATACCAGTTAGTAACAAAATCTAAACGAAAAATACGTAAGGATCTTTTGGCCAGACATTTTTAGCAACAACCTACTGTGGGAGAGAACAAACCAGATCCCAGCGGAGCAAGAAATCAGGAAGAAGTGCTGGAAGTGGATAGGACACATATTGAGGAAAGCACTCGACTACGTCACGTGACAAGCCCTCACCTGGAATCCTCAAGGCCGAAGGAGAAGAGGAAGACCAAAGAGCACAATACGTCAAGAAATGGAAACAGATATGCGAAGAATGAGCTACAATTGGACAGAACTAAAAACGAAGGTCGAGGACAGAGTGAGTCGGAGAATGCTGGTGGGAGTCTTATGCTCTATTGGGATTAACAGGCGTAAGTAAGCAGCAAGGAAATCAGTCTGTTCAGAACACAGTTATTGATGGGTTAAAAAAATACATTCTAATAGTTCCCATTGGAAATTGATGACCTGAATAATTAATATTTAGCAGTGCAGAACGCTGAGAAAAGTTGTGTAGAAAATAGTATATAGATCAAGGAAGGGATGATACCTATGATAGAAAATACTATTAAAGGAAGCTATTATTTGAATTGTTATTACCATTGTACCAAAAGTAATCACCGTGTTCATCAGTCTCACTTTGTATTTTCAGTATTCTGAAGATATATTTGCTAGACTTTTAGTTATAGCCCATGTCTACAAATCTTAGGTTCTGTCACTTATGTTTTTTTAGTTTTTTTCCTTATAAATACATATGAAATTTACAAGATGACAAATAAATTATATTTCTATTTTACTTTGTGCATGAAAACAGAAACCATTTAACTTCATTTTTTGTTTTGTCTTCCCATTGTTTAAATTTGGAAATAAATAGATGCTAACGGATGGTAAATTTAGTTTAAACATGTTAACTAATTGAAAAACCGAATAAACCAACCGTTTTATTTGTTTAAATAAAAATACCTACGGTAAATGTCAGTTCCAGTTCCTCATTCAACTAACTGACTGACGTTTATTCACATTCGGTTTGCGGATAATCACTGATACTTTTGTCCAAAATAACAGCGAAAGCTTCTTAATCAGGCTATGTAGCTCAGCGAACCCAAAACTACCAAAACCTGTGAACCACTTGCTTAAATATTGGTATGAAATTTTTGTTGTTGAACATTCTAATACTGCATTTTTTGGACGTTTTCTCTGTATTGATAATTTCCGTGAACTACTGACAAACAAAGCAGTTAAGATCAATATATATTGTATTAAGAATCATTTTAAATTGTTTTTCTGTTTGTTATCCAGGTGTCATATTTCTTTAATCGTATCTACCATTAATGTAATATCCTTTTTGTAGTCGAAGGTTTTACAAGTCCACAATGAGTCTAATGATTTTAATTCGATCATTGTAATTAGACAAATTAATTTGTTGTAATCACGTTTTTTTTAATTGAAAATGAATTAAGGCTTGTAGCTGGAAGATGTTAAATGTTCATTCACTATTATCAGACATTCACGAAAAACCGGAAACAACATATCTCCACAGTAGATTATTTTAAGTAATTTCATTTCGGAAATGGAGTGAGTACTGAAAAGTTACATGTATTCTCTAAGTGTTTTTACTGAATTCGCTATGAATTAAAAATGTAAAATATCACACAGTTTACCAAATAAATCTTTTTATCAACTCTAGAAGGAAGTTGAAACAAGCGTCTTTTATTTGTTTTAGTCAAAAGTAAAACAGTTTAAAAAACGTAATTTGCATGATTGCGTAACGTCTCTTTTAATGACTGTTTAATTTAAGTCGAAAAATCTGAAAATCCTTTAAAATAAAATTTTTTTTACCAGCAATGTCACTGAGACTAGTTAACTAGTATTTTAATAACTCATTTCTTCCTCTTAAATCTCGGATCTCCATTTTGCATTTCTAGTGCTCTAAATGAAACATTTGAAAAACATTTGTGCACATAAAACTCCACTTCTTTCTTCGAGTTTTAACACAAAGTTGACCTACAAAAACATTTCACTACAGTACTGTTATGCTGTTATTCGATTAATTGTTCTTCTAAATATCTTGATTACTTAATTTAAAAAACTTTAAAAAACTTCAGGCACCTGGATACAGATTACTATTAACGACTTAGCTTCAAATATTCTTTCATTCATTAAAACATTCCTGTTGTTTCATACATCTGCAGATGTTTTAGACACTTTTTAAATCTTATCACGCATCTGGAAAGACTACCTTATTATTTCAAGGTGAATATTTTTCGTTCATTTGATGGATGTGGGATGGTGAGAAATTGATAGTGATATATTAAATAGCGTCAAGCGCATAAAAATAACTTATTTAAATATATAGACTGAAACAATCATAACTAAACTGTTAAGTTGGAAGTAGTATTCTTACTTATATCGAAATGTCCACAACCTATATGCAATCTATTTAACAATGACTTTATACTTTTGAATGATTTTTGAGATCATAGTCTCAGAGTGAACTATTCTTCTGTTTAAAATATTGGCTTGACTAATGGAAAAAAGTATAAGACTTTGTTTGATAGATCATGCTAGGCAATGAGACATAACTGTAAGGTTATGGGCACCATTATTTTACCATTACTTCAGTCTCCAATAGGATACAGATTTATATGTTTATGCACAAGTATATAACTCACCTAGATTTATTTTTCGTATGTCTGTATTTAAAGTAATAAAATGTCATCATCTGTTGTCTCTTTAATCTGTACTTCTTACGGCAGATGAGTAGTTATTTAGGTAATAAACTTGACTCAGTTACTTGAAACATACATTGCATTTCGTTTGCTCGGTTCGAGTGTTGTCACTGTTGTATCGATAAATGACAAATTTGTACAGGTACTTCTGTTTTATACACCTCTGAAAGTACTATATAATTAAAGGGTACGTATTTGTACTACACCTGCGCACATAAAAGTGAACGGTGGAGAAGATTTTTAGCTCAGGTGGATGATTTTGATGGAGTTTTGTTCTCTAAGCTGGATGGTTTGGTCATGGAGCTTTCAGTGTTCTTCTGAACGACATCATCAGCACAAACTTCAGGTAGAAGAGGACGATAATATCACGGTGGGACTGTGTCATTGTCTTATCAATCGTGGTAGTCAAAATTTCATTCTTGAGCTGAAGCTTTATAAATGATCATCTGTTCATCTATTGAAAACGGGATACACAAGACGCAAAATTTGTATATCGTTTTCTTTTGATGACTTATATCCACATCAATGTCTACAACAACCTCTAGCAAATGCTTAGCAACTTTAAAATCTAGTGGTAGTATTGAGGAAAAATTAATAAGTTCTATATATCTTAACTGCCATCTAAGTATTATAGACGAACTTTAATGTTTAACTATCAGTTGCTCAATAACATGCTTTCAGCTACTCAAAATAGTTCAAATGAAAACACAACTGTCTACTTGAATAATAAGCAGATGTCGAGTACTTAGTAAATAGTGATGTACCTATCAATATTATTAACTAATAACATAATACAAACATCCATATGATACAATGAGTGCACTGTCACCTACTACAAAAAATACCTTTTTCATTTCATTAATATCAATGTAAAAGAAATGTCTTGAGAGTCCGAAAGGCAAGTTAAATAATTCACTACAAATGAATGTTCTGAATCTTTCCACTGAAAACTTTAACAGGGATTTATGACAGAGTATTTACGAGATTATTTACCTAAATATTTTCAATAAACGTTATTTACAATAAACATATCATATTTAAATAAACCATTACTATAATCAATATTAATTACCATAAAATGATTAAGAACTGAAATATTACTGACACAGTTAACTTTCTAAACTTAAATTTGATATTTTACGAGTGATTCATATTGGATGACGGTTCAGTGGTCTAGAGGTTAGGCGTTCGTTCTTGAGACCGATAGGTCCTGGGTTCGAATCTCGCGAGGAACGGGATTGTAGATACGCACTGCTGAGGAGTCCCACAATAGGACAAAACGGCCGTCCGGTGCTGTTTAGGTTTTTCACAATGGTCTAACTTTAATTGGCTCATAATTTCAACTATTAAAATCACTATAATATCCACAAAACCCCTTCTAATACTGATTTATATTTATTGAAAAGTATCATTTCTCCGAAATAAAAATGGAAGATTAAATGCCTTAATGAAAAAAACACTTCATATTATTTATTTGTATGACATTTACCAATGAAAGTTTCTTTTAATCGTAAATTTTTTGACAACTATAATAAGTCAAACCTTTCAAAATCAGGTGGATATATCTCCTTACCAATTTACTTGGAATGCAGTTATATAAAATATCAAAGTGAGTCCATTAACTATGTATAATTCCTTAGAGAATAACAAAATTTCATACCACCGTTGTTAGTAGTCTGCTTTCCAACTTTTTATTTGATTCCCTGGAGTTATAAACTATGTGAATGAGATAAATGTCAAAGAACTACGGAAACTAGAGTAATTCAGTGATCTCAATTCACCTTTTAACTTTACGGAATTAAATGACTTCTAGTTTATCAATTTTCAATGATTTATAATAGTATAATCCTTAAGTGAAAATAGACAATCATTCACTACCTAATCGAAACGGCTTTTAATAAAGAAATATGTATTTGTATATTGATCAAAGTAAGAAGCTATTTTAATTTATCAATGGCTTCTGATTGCTTCCTAATAGAAAATAAATGATAATGTGATGTAGAAAATACTAAGGAACTGAACTGATACTCTCGTATGATTGTAAATAAATATTTACTTTAAAATGAGTTATGATTATAAAATTGATAAGTGTCGGTTGAAAATATTGAGTAAGATTGAGATGTCTCCAGATCTCTGGTGTTAATACAACACAAACATGATTTGTCTATCCAGAGTTATTCGAAATATTACGAGAATAAACGGATAAGTAATTTCATGTATGGTGTGAAGAATCTTATTTTCTACAAGAAGTGACATTCGCTCATTAAATATTCCAATAAGAAATTGTTGGAAAAGTGTAGTAGTTATTACGTTTTTGATAAATGAGATTCAAATGACCAATGGCTTTTATAATTAATTACCATAAATGTTCTATGATGATATTTTATATCAAATTTAGTTGGTCATTTTACAAAATCAAATATTTGAAACACTACAACTTACTTTACTTTGAATAATTTCTGGAGCTAAATATTCAGGAGTACCACACAGTGTGTATGTTCGATATTTCACGTGTTTAACAAAGCCAAAGTCAGCAATCTGTAAAAACAGAGATGATAAAGAGTGTTCTCGGGAATACATACCTAACATACTGAAATATTTATTGTTTACATACGTAAATTAATGAATAGATAGAAAGCTAACAGTTCTTAAACAAATAATCCAATAAATATTCTTTGGTAAAAGAACGACAATCGCAATCAACTGTAGGAGACTTCATGAACAATTAAGGTAGGATTCTGTTTTCTTTCTTGGTATAAATAGTCCCAACACATATTCGCTTATCTAAGCTAAAAGAAAATAGTTTACCATCAGCTAAAAATCGCGAAAAATTTCATTCTTATCACGTATGCGTACTTCTAAACATTTTGATTCATTAGAACATTAATTTTACTATTTTACTCAATATTTATTATAAAGCCTAACAAAGATAATGCAGTTGTCAAAATAAATTTCATGCTTATATAAAATCTTATATACTAATCCGTTTGTATGAAAAGTACTTAGCACAAATTCCAGTTGTTTCACGTAATTCCAGAAAGCTCCGATAACATCACTAATTATAGTTTAAATTAATCCACTCTGTAGTGAATAGCTTCATCAAATTACGAAACAAGAGTAAAACAGATTAAACATCATCATTCATTTTTAAATACTCATAAAAGACTTAATTCATTTGATTTAACTGTAAGCTGTTATAGAGTTTAAAGTGAAAATTCTATTCTCAACTTCATTTTAGGTCCACATTTTAGCAGATATCCCCTACATGTATGTCAGCTCAACGTTTCTCGGCTAAACTTTCAGAACTAATTGCGGTGAAAGTAACAACAATTCTTAAATAATGCCTACACACATGTTCATTCAAAGTGATTTGATTACAATTGCAAATTAAGCAAACTTAAGACAAACATACAAACATCAACGGCAAATATTCTGTTATGAGCTTCATCACATTTGAATAGCTGTTTTTTAATCGAATCTTTAAACGAACCATACCATTTCTTACATTCTTGTTAATTAAACCAATAATTCGAGTTAAACTAACGTTTTGCATTATCCAAGTCTCTCTTTGTACATAATCGAAATTCAATGCAGTTTAAATGTCAGGTAATGTCAAAACATCCTCTGAGTTTACATGATATTGAGATTCGAATCTTTTTATACATACGAAACATGTCGAAAAACCACGAGTACAATTTTTAACGACATATATGTTTCTAAATTCACTTTGAAATTAACTTTAACGTATCTTTACACAACAGAGACTAGTAAATAATGAAATAATAAAGAGGTAAGCTGTATCTTAAAACCACTGAAAATGTTTGCTGCATCCTTTTAATTATAAAAATTTCTTGATAAGCGTAAGATTAGATAAAATCAAATGTAAGAGATAAAGCATAAGAATATAGTTAATGTACTTTAACACTTAATCATCAACCCTTATGTTTCAAATAATAGACTCGAACCGTGAAAGGTTGCTTTATAGGTACACATGTGAATTAGTCTATTTTTTTACTCGTTGTAAGGCCACAAAATTTCAACCCCACTCTGTATGTATAGCAATTTATATTACAACTTGATCAGAAACATTTGTTTTAAGGACCTATTCGTTGTCGTTTGAAGCTCGAGTCATTCGCCAATGAATGTCCATTTTCTATAACCATTGGTAGAACGTAATTCACACATTTCATAAAAAAACTTTTTCAGGTGAATGCTTCCTCTTGACAGAAATATATATATATATATATATTTCATGGGACCTGAAGCATCACTTGTTTTGCTTTCTTAAATAAATCATGAATGTCTTGAAATCTCTTAAAAACGTCATGCTAGCAAATCTAGGGCCTAACTCTTGAGTTTTGTTCCAAATTTTATTGGAATTTAACTTGAAACAAAACAGATTCAATTGGCTCAACTAAGTTATACATTTTAAAAAATGTTTTTTTTAAAACTGCCTAGTTTACTGGATCAGTCATTTAGAAAAGAGAGCGAACTTAAAGTAAATTTTTCACTGGGCTCAAACAAAACAAAAACAATTAGTCCTCCCCTGATTATGAATGCACACCCGTTTTATTAAAGTGTAATTCGTGAGTGCTCATCACAGAAATACTCTAGAAATCTGACTTTAACAATTGTCTAGTTTCTCTCGGGATTATTTATCAAGACCAACAATATTTTCTTTTCATCTTCCAACGGTTTAAAATAATGCACAGAAGATGGAACGTCCCCAATACAACATAGCAGATTTCTCGAAACATTATAGTGAATGTAGGCTCATGGATTTTGAAGACGTATCCTGTAGTCATACTTAATTTCTGCCTAAGGTTGTCGACTATATTTAATAATGCGACTATAAAGGTGAATACAGGCCCATGAACGATCATGAATAAAAGTCAACGTTTTCTTAATTTTCACACTCAAATCTCAGTACAGTATACCTTAACAATGACTCCATAGTTTGATACTTTGAGTTAATAATCTCGTCATTCAAAAATAAATGTTTCTCATAACAATGGAGTTTTTATAGTTAAGTTAGAGAATGACTCCATTTTGTGGTCACTAGCTTACTAAATTCATATGTATTACTAATATTTTAATTTCATTAGTTATAGGTAAAAACAGATATATTAATACAAGCTCAGTTGAACTTAGAACACTGCTTTAGCAAAATCGCAACAAAGTCCAATTAACATAGTCTCACTTTAGATTACTGTCTTTACATTTCAGAATAATCTCAAAAGACTGCATTTAGTTAGTTAAGCAAACATGTTACAGTTTACTGAATTTGCTACTTGACAATATTTTATTTTAAAAATATTGTGACTTATTCAACTAGCAATTTTCGTATCAATGTAAATGGTCTAAATTACCCAACTAGAACGTTTTCTTGTAGATAATGATTGTATAATATATAGACCGAATCCCAATTCTTACCTGGTACCATAAATTTCAGTAATGAGCATTTATTCCTATAATTGTCATCGACGTTGAAAGTTCTTACTTGGTAAACAGACAGACATCACAAAAATGGTTGGATTTGAATCCAATTGACTACATTTTTAAGTTCAGGAAGACCAACCATCGTACAACATCAAACTTGTTGAAGAAAATAAGTAGTTGAATATTCACTTTGATACACCTAATCACTTAGCGACTCATTAATATACACCCAGCATAAAGAAAACTGGTATACTATTGGGTAACTATACCTTTCAAATCGGTAATTTAGTTCAAATCCCTTTGAAAATAATCTGGTTATTAATTCTATTTAAAAAAACCTCTTTGATTTAAGCCATTTCTCATGATAACCTAAACAGATTACCTCAATAATGTTAAATTAATAATCCTCAAACAATCATTTGGTCCATTTTATGTATTTATATCAAAATGTTTTTAATATACCTCAGAACATACTCTAAACGTCATGGTCACCTTTTCGTATCTCACCAGTTATACGGTTATCAATATTTCAAACTGTTCTATCATGACTTTCCATAAAGTGAAAACACCTGGCTACAATACTGATAACAAACATTAATAAAAATGTTTTCTTAATAAATCATTTCTGTGATTGCAGCAAGTGATGTAAGAAAACAGGTGCAAATGAATAAACCCCTAAATACTTTAAAATATATTTAGTTTGCTTTTCAAGTGCATTTCATGTGATATCAAGCCAAGAGAACACTTTAAAACCATATTAGGTTGGGCAAAGAACAAACTAGAACCAATTAAACAGACGGTCATTATTCCAATCCAAAGCCCCAAGTAAAAATTAATGTAAACGACAATTTTCTGTTCATGATATGACGTCTTCATGCATGTATTGTCGTATTATGCAGTCATTTGTTTCAAGAAATTTCGGACAGTTTAAAACAACCAGTTTTGAATACAATGAATAACTATTTCGAGCTTCATATAAGCTAAAACAAACAGCATTTACTTTTTTATCTGACTGATACCTTCACGTTGTCAGTATCACTAATCGACCTAAGTTAGATGACCACTAATGCCCAAGGAGCACCGAACAGTCGTTTCATCCAAGTGTAGAGATCCTACCAGTGTATATCAACTATCCTGCTTCCGGGGATCGGAACGAGGACCTTCAGTTTTGCATGTGAACGCCTAAGCTCCAGATAAGTGAGGCGGGATTCATTGGTGATAATGTCCAAATTTAATCAGTTTGTAATAATTTGCAACAATTTTCCACTCATATTAACTCATCATTATGCTTTCTGAAAGGGTTTTGTTTTAATTTGTTTGAGAAAAAGTAAAGATTTTTGAAATTTTCGATTTTCAACAAGGATTTTAATGACTATTTTATCATGCTGACGTTAAAAAATTTGTTTAAATAGCAAGATAACCTTATAAGCTGTCGTTAATATATTTTATAGTGTTCATTTAACCCAACAAAGATTATGTCATAAAATTTAAAACCCGAACTATATATGTCCTCGTGTCTATATAATATAAAACACATCTTCAAAGGAATGGGATTAAGATACTATGGTATAAGAGGAGGATAGTTACACTGGAATATATTGAAATGTTTTTTATAACATTTTGGTTCATTATTGCAAGATATATGAAAACATTAATAAATGCATTGCATTACCGTTAATCTAACACTAACTTTTACTTAATGACATTTCCAATAAATATTCGACAATCTTCATTGTTAATATTACCAATATATGACTTAATATAGCCATCTTTATTGTTACGTTATTGTCATTCCAATATCCCTAAATGAATGGCATGTATGGTCAAATTCTATCTATTTTTACTCGATTATGTTTTAACTATGTTACCAGTTACAATTTACAAACTGAATAGTAAATTAGAGCAATCGTGATTCGATAAATTTTGTGTCCATAAAAAGACATACCTTATGCATAATCCCTGAGAACTCTACATTCAATGGTTGCAGCTGCCATATATGCATGTGAAATTTGTGTAATCGATGCTTTGTATGAATGTGTTTAATTAGCTAGTTAAAGCGCTTTTTTCATCATTATTTTACATCGTGTGTAGATAGAGAA